TTGTTGATAGGCTTACAAAGTCGGCTCATTTTATTCCTATTAACATCAGTTTTCTAGTGTCGAAGTTGGCTAAGATTTACACTAGTGTAATCGTGAAGCTACATGGTGTTCCTTTGTGCATTGTGTCGGATAGAGATCCAAGATTTACTTCTGATTTTTGGAAGAGTTTGCAAGAAGCGTTGGGTTCTAAGTTAAGGTTTAGTTCGGCGTATCATCTTCAGACAAATGGTCAGACTGAAAGGACTATCCAATCGTTGGAAGACTTGTTGAGGGCATGTGTTCTTGAGCAGGGAGGTTCGTGGCATACTTATCTTCTGTTGATAGAGTTCACTTATAATAACAGTTACCATTCTAGTATTGGGATGGCACCTTTTGAAGCGTTGTATGGTCGAAGATGTAGAACTCCTTTATGTTGGCATGAATCTGGTGAGAGTGTAGTACTTGGACCTGAACTTATTCGTGAGACTACTGAGAAGGTGAAGTTGATTCAGGAAAAGATGAAAGCTTCCCAAAGTAGACAGAAGAGTTATCATGATAAGCGAAGGAAGGATTTGGAATTTCAAGCTGGTGACCATGTGTTTTTGAGAGTTACACATGTAACTGGTGTTGGGTGAGCATTGAAGTCTAAGAAGCTCACTTCTCGTTTTATTGTTCCATATCAGATTTCAGAGAGAGTGAGAAATATTGCTTATAGAGTGGTTTTACCGCCTAATATTTCGAATTTGCATGATGTATTTCATGTGTCACAACTCCGGAAGTATATTTCAGATCCATCTCATGTGATTCATATGGATGGTGTGCAAGTACGGGATAACCTTACAGTGGAGACGATACCTGTACGGATCGCGGATCGTGAAATAAAGACTCTAAGGGGCAAGGAGATTGCTTTGGTTAAAGTGGTTTGTCTAGGAGCTGCCGGAGAAAGCATGACTTAGGAGTTGGAGAGCAAGATGCGGGACTTCTATCCTGAGTTGTTCGATTAAGGTAAACTTTCGAGGACGAAAATATTCTAAGTGGGGGAGAGTTGTAACGCCCGTAATTTAATTAATTATTTAATTAAATTATTTTTGGAATATTTGTGGAGCTGTGTTATGATAATAGTTGATGTGTTATGGTTATTGAATTTATTTATTCTATTAAGTTGTGGGATAATATTAGAATAATAATATTATTTGATGTGGGCTTGTTTTAAAGGATATAAGTAGTAGAAGGGAGGTGTAGGAGTTTTAAGCCCATTAAGACATAATAAGAATTATAGGGTTATTATATTAGTTTTAGAAATAATAAGGAAAAAGAAGCAGTAAGAAGAGAAGGAAATAAGGGTTGGAAGAAGAGAAAGAGAACGTGAAAAGTTGCAGAAAAGAAGGGAAAGAGGCAGAACGGAATTCAATTGGAAAAGTTATAGAGCAACCTTCAATCCAAGGTAAGGGTGGGGTTCTGAATCTATAATAGGGTTTATGATGATTAGTATGTGGGATTTGATGTGTAATATTGTTTGGTTTACGATTGAATTATATACATTGTTGTTTGATGAAAATCGATGATTCAAGGATGAATAATGATGCCCTAATGTTGTATAATTGATGTAGAAACATAGGATTATTATAATTGATGATTATCTATGATTAGAGGATGTTTTTAGGACCTAAGGCATGGAAAACATAGTGAAAACACACTGAAATCACAGAAAATATTCCTGACAGAACAGTATGTATCGACCCCAAAATCCATGCGTCGATGCATGAAGGCTTTTAGACTCGGGATGAGTCGATACGAAGAAGCCATGCGTCGATACATGCAGGCTTCTAGACTCAGGATGAGTCGATACATAGGACCATGTATCGATACATGCAATGTTGCAGACTTAGTATGAGTCAATACGAAGGGAGTACGCGTCGATACCTGAAGCGTGTCAAGCTCAGTACGCATCGACTCAAGATGTTACGCGCCGACTCATGTAGCCTGATTTTTGGCAGATTTTTCCAAGGGCTGTAACTTGAGTTTCCGGACTCCGTTTGAGGTGCCGTTCAAAGTGTTGGATAGCTAACGCAGTGAACTACATTTTTAAGGATTAAAATGAAGGATAAGGAGGGTAAATCCTAGTACCTAAATTAGGATTAGAGTTAGCTTCCCGCGTTAATCTGCATGATGAGTTTATGAAGGATGATGAGGATAAGATGATTATAGATTACTGTTTGGTTCATAACAGTAAGATTAATGATGATAATGATGTAGTATTTCAGAATAATAATATGTAGAGGTTTGTCAACTAGATGTAAGCCTTAGATGATTAATTAATTATAGGCATTATTATGTTGTAGGCCGATGGCCAACGTTGAAGGATTGTCGATCTGCCATTGTATTGTTGTTATGACTGAGTTGCTGTAAATGATGTTGATGAATTATGTTGATAAATGATGTTGATGAATTATGTTGATAAATGATGTTGAGATGCCTCTAATAATTGGCAGCTATTAAGATGTAGGCTTCTGGCCAACGATGATGTTGTGTTGAGATGTTATTAATTATGGTTGTTATTATTACATTCATGATTGTGTCGCATACTTTGCATTTCAAGATGGAGCTGATGCTCGTTAAGATGGCTTGTATTGATGAATATTAAGATGAAAGTTTATGCCTTGTTGATGCCTCTACTTATTGGCAATTATTTTGAGATGGTAGTTCTTCTCCATTGGTACCACATGCATTTGCATAGTATTGAGTCGCATTATATATTGTATAAAGAAGTTGTGTATTGATGCGGTGAATGTGTATTATTATTGGTATTCTTTTGCGATTATTGTTGTTTATGAGATGAGAAGTGGTGATGTTATGTGATCTAATTTAATATATTATTTATCATACGTTTTATTATATTGTTAGATATATCACCCCTTCTGTTTGAATGTTACCCTTATGTTGGTAACCTGCAGGTAATCCAAAGTGAAGGCAGTATACCTTCGGTAGTTTGAGTCGGTGTTATTGCTCTGATACGTAACACTCAGAGGGGAGCGGGGATGAACGCTTGTTGCTTTTGATTATTAATTATTTCAGTTGTTGAACTTTAATTTGATTGTTGCTAAGTATGTATTACTTTGAAGTTGCTATAACGATGGAAAAAGATGTTATTATGATTCCACTGCGTAGATGTTTAAGTTGTTGAATTAAGAGATTAAATTATTTTGCTGATGGTTCATCCTAAGTTTTAAAGTGTTATGTATCCACGTTGAATGCAATGTGTTTTTAAGTTGAATTTGTGGCATCCTGATTCAGTTGTATGAATTTTATAACTCTTATTTATATTTATAATTGCCGGATAGAATTGAGGTGTTACACCATTGCCATTTAGAAAGATGTGACTTGTTAGTATAAAATGATAGACTATCTATTATAGAGAAAAACATGAATTACCCTTAGAAACAGAGGAAGCAGTTTCATCATGCTCATGTGAAGGTTGATACATATTGTTATTGCCATTTACAAATGTTCTTTCTTTAATTCTCCCTTGTGCACCAATTTGATCAATAAAACCATGTCAAAAAGAAGATACGTCCATGTATAAGTTATTCCATGAATAAGTACATGGGTAAGAAAAATGGCCAATGGAAATCATTGTAATCTAAGGTAATGATGATGGATAACTAGTATTCACGTTACAAACTGAGAGTGGAGTTATAAACAATACCAACCTATCAGCATGAGAAATATCCTGATAGTGAACCCTTTTGAATGCTCTGTTTACATCTGGGTTTATACTGATCATATTGATCCTTGTGATGCAGTAGCAAGTTCAGAAATATTACAATAAAGAAAAATAAAGTTCAACTTAAAACTCAGACACGATAGAATCATAATAAAGTGATCATGGTGTGACAATAATGGTAAATCAACCAAACCTCGTTAAATACATTGGCCATTGCTTCAAGATGTTCATGTAAGGGTTTTCCCAGAGCAGACACTGAATGAAGAAATTATTTTTCATTTTCAATGCCATATGTTTGAACTTCTTTCCGATCACTATCCTGTATGAATATTTTATAAGCAGTAAGCTCATTTATCAGTGTATACTTAAAACACAGTTCATATGAAGTGAGTTTATTAATCAGTGTATACTTAGCACACAGTTTAGATGCAGTAAGTTCATTAATCAATGTATACTTAGCACACATCAATACTCATTAACCTACCTTATCTTCACCAGCCAAAACCGGTTCTTGTTTTTCAGTTAATGCATCTGCCAGTAAAGCCATAATCTGCAAGATATTCAGTGAAATACAAGTTATACTAATTACAGAGAACTCCACAAGTATATACCATGTTTGTAAGACCTCTTTTTGTTCAAATTTGTCCTTCATAGCCATATTCATTTTCAAATTTAAATTAAAAAACATATAACATAATATAGGCCATTCATACTGTACATTGAAAAAACATATTATTACAGGTTTATACAAAATCTTATAATATCCATATTTCTAAAAAAAAAAATACTTCTTTATGAAGCAGCAAGATCTAAAAGTTTGTAATTAAAACCCTAAAATTTAAATTTGGCATTCCACAACATTATCTTAAACTAACCAAATTTTTCAAAAAAAATAGTTCTTAATAAACCAGGAAGATGCTAAAGTTTGTAACAAAAACCTTAAAATTAAAACATGATATTCCAAAGCATCATCTAAAAGTAACCGTATTTTTCTTAAAAATTACTTCTTTATGAACCAGTCAGATCTAAAATCTTGTAACAAAAACCCTAAAAACAAATTCAAAAAAACCTGAAGCTTTAGAACAAAAAATGATTTATGCAGATACATTTCATTCCAACAACCAAATTTTATGCTAAATTTGCATCTACAAATGTGGAAAAAAACCATCTCAACAATTTATGTGAAAAACCATCAACATCAAATGTGAGAAAAAAAACCTAGTCTACAAATAGCCATCCTAACGATTTATGTAAGTAAACCCTAAAAATGTGAGAGATACCTCTTTGTCAACCAGAATCATCTCGAAGTGTTATTTATTCTTGGAGACCACCACCCGTTTGTGATGGATTCTGACCACCAATTTTTAGACCTCCTTCGAATCATTGATGTTCTTGATACTTTCAAAAGTTCTTGCCATGTTGGTTGTTTGATTGAAGCAGATGAGAGAAATGAGAAGAGAGAGATGAAAGAAAGAAAAAGAAGAAGAATGAGACGAGAGAGATGGAATAAATATAGAGAAGAAGATGAGGAGAGATAAGAAAAGATGTTTGTGTGGAAAAATGAGAGAGCAATGAGAATATAAGGATGACATCGGAGGTGATGAAACAGTCTGCCACAGTTGTGATAAGACTATACCACTTCAATTTCAAAAAGTAACTTTCAAAGGTATAACAAAGTACATTTCGGTAACCATGTTGTTCCATTTGAACCATAAAGACAAAATAGTATGGAATTTTAATTAAATGCAAAGTAAGTATGTTTGAGTTTTAGCCAAACGTACAATTCGGTTGTAAAAAATAAATTTTAGACACAAAATGCCTTCAATTTGAATAGGTGGAGGGCAAAGAAAGATGGGAAAATGTGTGTTTTCCAGAGTCATTAATTTTATTATATTATAGATTTTGAATGTATTTTCATTAAAGAAGTGGAGAATCTACTTCTAGGACATGAATCTCGTCTTAAGAGGTTCAAGAAAAATTTATTACCTTCAGTTAACCTTGAATCCATTATTGTATATGCTCCTGATCTCAGTTATAAGCCTCTGCTAATTTTGTTAATAACAAGTAAAAGAAAACCTCTTAAGATACTGTTGTTTTTGGTTTTTGAAACAAAATTGCCACGAAGTAAGTTATCGTCTGAGTCGTGGAACGGTACACTTTCTTTAAGATGTTTCACGATACTGCCAAAATTATGCAAAGCAGCTCTTAATAACTACGACGCCTCCAGGATAAAATAACTTGTTTACAAAAGAATTATGATTATCACTTACACTGTGATGAATTGTTCAAAGAAATACACATTCAGAGGGTGTTTAAACCACTTATAGTATTTGAAAGAATTTCTAGTAGAATTAATATTAATAATTAATATTAATAATTAGAATTAACTCCACTAAAATTGATTCTATCATTAGCCACTATTGATTTTCAAGATACAACACCTCCAACTATATATATATATATATATATATATATATATATATATATATATACCACTAGTAGCTTTAGAATCATCTATAAGGTATTCCAATCTGCGTCACTGTATCCTTCAAGTACAACAGGAAATCTCTAATAATGCAAATCGAGATTCACAGTCTTTTTAAGGTATCCCATGAATCTCTCAATAGCTTGCTAATGTTCATTACTTGGTATACTAGTAAACCTGCACAACAATCCTACGACACATGTAATGTCGGGTCTAGTACAATCAGTGGCATACCTAAGACTGCCAATGATGCTCGCATATTCTGTCTGTCTAACACTTTCACCAGTGTTCTTAAATAGTTTCTTGCTTGGATCATATGTTGTGCTTGTAGGTTTACAATCAAAGTAATTATATTTCTTTAAGATCTTTTCCATATAGTGTGATTGATCCAAAGAATTTCCTTGCTCAAATCTCGTGATCTTGATTCCAAGAATCTCACCCGTTTCTCTGAGGTATTTCATATTAAAGTTACTGCACAACAATAATTTTATATCATTAATAGCCTGAATGTTTGATCCAAATATGAGTAGATCGTCTACATATAGACATATGATAGTGCAAATGTGATTCTCATATTTGTCATAAACACATTTTTTCACTTTCATTCACTTTGTACACATTCGATATCATTAAGTTATCAAACTTTTTATGACATTGCTTAGGAGCTTGTTTTAGTCCATACAGAGACTCGTCTAACATACAAACCTTGTTTTCTTCTCCATGGAGCACAAACCCTTCCGGTTGTTCCATATAGATTTTTTTCTTTTAAGTCATCGTTTAAAAAAGTTATTTTAACATCCATTTGGTGTACTATTATCAAACCTCAAATTTGTCCGCCCTATTTTCTAACAGTCAAATGATTTTCAAACTTGGTTTTTTTTATAAACTTCTTTGGTTACTTACACTGTATTTTGGGTTTTATAGATATTTTTAATTTATTTTGCGTATTTAAAAATATATAATAGTTTACTTTAAATTATTTGTATTTTTAAATATCAAATATTTTCCCACCATTCATATGTTTTCAAGTGCCTTTTGTTTCGAAGAAATAAGACAGGACAATTGATAAGGAAATAAGACTTGCAAGCATAAGGTTTTTTTAAACATTTTTTCTATCATTTGTTACTAACTTTATTTCCATTTTCAGAATCACAAAATTGTATTTTTTTTTATTTATTTTAATTTCAATTTTCATTTTTTATTTTAAGACATTTTTAAAAATAATTATTTATTTTATTTTATGCACTTTTTATCAAGAAGGATGACAGAAATTATAGTAAATATAAAAAACATTTCATTTTCTGGTTAACTATTTTCTTATCGGTCAATTTATATCAATTTGTGTCTTACTCAACTTTTGAATGGCCAGCTTGCTGACCAAAGAAGATCTGATTTATTCAATTTAATTTTATTTCCATTTTGTCCTTTAACATGATTTTTCCAAACTATAAATAGTATTCTATTTTCATAGGTTTGGGCATCAACAATCATCCATAAATTTTACAACTTTGCAATTTTACACACAAAACTTTTCAACCTTTTTTCACACACCTTTTTCAAACCCTTTTAAAATTTTTACGCTTTTATCAACAATTTTGACCGATAATTTTCATATGAGGCCTCCCTTTTATTTTCAATTTTATCTTTTCTTTATTTTTAATTTATGTGTTGTTAAAACCAAATGATAATATTATCTGATGGTTGTTTTTAAATCAACAATTCTCAATTTTCATACAAGAACACTTTTTCTACACCAAACCTTTTCTTTCCTTTATTTTATTTTTATCACATGATGATTATCTTGTGATGGTAGTTTATTTTCCAAAATTATATTTTATTTTCCTAAAATATATGTATTGTATTTTAATTTTCTAAAATGTCATATTCTTTGAACTCTGTAAATTCTATAGTTATATCATGTACTTGCATACTATTGAATGACAAATTCCTTTACCATTGAAAACATGTTTTTCTCTTTTATGTCTTAGTCGCAAGCCTCCTTCTCACTCACGTGTGTGGTGTGTTTTTTCAGAAAAAGTGCAAAATCACTACAATTGAAACACTACATCACTTTCATGCTACCACCACCAACATATCACCATGACTTTAAAGTTCCACAAAAACAACACAGATACTTTCCAAACCCCTTTGTTATAATCTTACACACAATATATTGCTTTCATGAATACCAATTTCAATCTTTCACAAACTCACAACAACAAAGAGTCAAATTCAAAATCAAGAACAAAAATAGAATAAGAAATCAATAATTGTGTGTTTTATTTTCTTTCACAGGTTGCCAAAGAAGAAGAAGAAAAAACAAAAGGTGAAGCATGAAAAATGAAGCATCAGAAGCAGATGACACAGCTACTTTGAGTTAAACCCAAATCGCATTTGGGCTTAGAGCTTTTTGTCTCTTTATTTTTACTAATCGTTTGCCCCCATCTATTACTAATACACTCTTTAGTTTTCTATTTACTTGATTTAACTTATTTAATTAGTTTAGTTAATAATTTTGATTAATTATTAGAATTAATTAATCTTATTAAAAAAAGGCTTCTTTTATCCTATAAGAATAATGCAAAAATACCAACAACAAAAAAGGTCTTTTCTTTTAAGTTAATTAAAGCTATTTAGATCATTAGGTTATTTATATATCACACCTTAGTCTTAGTTTGTACACATTCATAAAGGTATCCCGATTAATTTCAACACTTATGTTACTTGTAAATATTTTTTAAACAACTATACACAGGTTTAATAAATTTCAAACTTTCTTTTCAAATCAAATTAATTTCAATAAGGATATCACATCCTCGAGTAATTAATGGGTCACCTTAACACCTTACTAATTTATTATTTAAAACAGAAATACATTAAAATACACAAACAAATCAAATCAATTTCTTCACCCTGCAATTTAATTTTAATTAAGATCAACTCTTCTTCAACCAATCCAAACTTAATTAAAATAGCTAACTAATAAAATTCTTTTCTACTAAAATAATCAAAATTCAAGATTTTTTTCAAATAAAGAATCGTCTGGTTTCTTTCTACTTGGATATAAAAACTTCGCCTACCATCACTCAATTTTTAAACTCAGACAAGTACAAAACTATTCGAAAGCAACTTAATACGATTCTATAAAAAACACTAACCAAACAACTTCAAACTACGAAGGACTCTAATTTCTTCTTAAGAAGATCTGTAGACACACATTTGTAAATTCAAGGCGAATCCACTAACTAAAAAACTTAATTTTCCCTTGTTTTATTATATATGATAATATGAACAAATAAAGAAATATACTCATAAGTCCTTGAGCTAAAAGGGATCCCCTTGAGTACAATGGAGATAAAGAGTGTCTAACATCTTTCCTTTATCTAATCAACTCATGAACCCATCAACCTCTGAATAATTAGTGTTTTTCTGTTTCTTTCCCGTCCTTAGGAGAAATAAGTAGTGGTGGTGACTCTCTTATTTTTTGTTGGTTACGACAACTATTAAGTTATAAATAGCAGCTATTGAAATAAGTACCCTAATGGATTTAATTCTAGTGACTGGAGAGAAGACGTCGAAGAAATCTATATTTTCTTTTTGTCTGAAACCATTGGCTACAAGGCGAGCCTTGTATTTATCAATAGTTCCATCAGGTTTTAGTTTCTTTTTCAAAACTTATTTACAACCAATTAGGTTTCACCCATGAGGCAAGTCTACTAAGTTCCAGGTCTTGTTAGACTCTAGAGATTCTATCTCTTCATTAATAGCTTCTTGCCATAAATCAACATCCAAAGATAACAAGGCTTCTTGAAGATTTATTGGTTCTTCTTCTACATTATAAGCCGCATAATTACGCCCATAGTCTTTAGAAACTCTTACTCTTTTACTTCGTCGATGTTCTGATTTTACAATGTCGTTGCTTTTTGTGCTTCTTATCACATGAATGTGACTCGATTGTGTGCGCCCACTATTTCTCAATTTAAAAGAAAATGTGTCTTCATAGAATTCAACATCATTTGATTCTATGATCACTTTT